GAGGTATCAGGTACGTAACATATATGTGGCAACGTGTATGAAATTACTACCTCTCTCTTTCACTCTATATAATTATATATTATAAATTAGTTAAAAATAATTTAACACATTCGTATCATAGGTCCATAGAAATTTTGAACCTATATTTATTCTAACTTTGCTTTCTTATATTTCTGCTTATTTACCTTTGCAGAGTTTATTCATAAAAATCAAAAACATCTTGTATATTGGAAAAATATTATTATAAAATTTATTTTTGGACATAAATAAGAGCAATTTAATAAGAAATATATGAATTTCTAACGTATATTTGTTTTATATTTAATATTTTATTTTTGCAAAGTTACTGGATCATTTCGGCTTATAAAATATTGTAATTGCATGTCTCTGTAATGTTTTTGCAATATTACTTTGCAATTTGCAATATTGCAATATTCCTGCAGTGCAACTGGAAACTTCTGAACTGTATGAGATTATTTTGCAAGAATTGTCTTATATAATGTTTTGGGTAATTATTGACAAAAGCTTCGACTTCATGGATGGTCTTCACTTTTACTTATATTGTAAAGAGAATACTATACATAACTTTTTCTTATATTTTAATCGGCGGTTTTATATTATTTTTAGGATATATTATATTGTGCAAATTTAAAAAAAAATTTGATGCAAGTTTGCAATAGAAAGAGGGGAAGCAACTTCAATTGGTTTGATCTTGTCATATGTTGTCAAATAACTTTTAAAAAATGTTATCCATCATTGTTAACTGAAAAGTTATAAATAAAAGAAGGTTCATAAATGCGGTATAATTTTCCAATATTGTATATATTAAAAAATAAATAGTATAAGGGGTTTATGAAAAATCGATACAAAATAGTACTTGATACGCGCGGAGACAGGGCTTTGGAATATTATCGACATTCCTTTCTTAATTGACGCATATGTATATCCCAAAAACAATATAAGATTGTTAATTAAAACATAAAAAATGTTGTTCAATATTCTTACTTTTATAACATATGTCAAGAGGTCAAGATTACCTGTAAAAATAAGTTTTTGTCAATAATTACCATATTTATATATTTTAATATAATAATATTACTTAATTTTTATTAGTAAGTAATTATCGTAATTATTTAAATATTGTGCGAAAAGATGATGATCTCGTATGAGTTGTTGCTGGACGGATTGAAATATATTTTTCCGAGTCCTGCCGGCGGTAAAAATTTTCTACTCTCCACTTAAAATAGATTGTTATCACAAATTGTGAACTCAGATCGGTCTGAAATTTACTCGTGATACCGCAGTTTATAACAATCTCTGGCTGGTATATCACGATTCAATCTCACATTTCCATTCGCGATTGCAAGGTATTTTTATACCGGATTCTATCCGAATCCGAAATCAAATTTCAATATTAAAAAAATTCATGTGTGATGGGGTGTCATGACGACTGTCATTAATCGCGACATCTTGCTGAATTTTACAATTGCGTTGTATTTTTCATAATCTTTACTTGTCGCAAAGTGCGATAACATCGACGATCAACGGTTTGATATCATCAAATTTTTTGCGAAACAATTGCCATATCGCAATATTAATTTGTGCAATCGTCTAACAAGCCGAATTTAAATAGCCTAACTGAAAAAAGAATAATGTGCGTTGTTATTTCACTCGCAGAGAGATTTTTCTTATAAGGGATTTTGTCACAAAGTCGCACTGTTTTACTTCTCGCGAACTTCGCGTCGCTATATCAAACCGAACATCTCAATTTAAACGTATATCCTGTTACAGCTCGCCACATCTTGTTTTATTTTCTTTTTCTGCTCACGATACGATACTTACTGTAGTACTACGTGTAGTTACTAATTGCGCGTAGCGAGCAGACTCGCTCGACCAGGCGGAACGGTATGCGGGCTTTCGTGAAATTTAAAAGTCCCTCGTTTGACCGGAGATAATTAAATGTCTATCGGGAATTCGTCGGTACGACCAACGATCTGACCGTCGAGAGGTGATTGAACCACTGGGTATGTTCCCGCTCTTTCTCACTCTCTCTCTATCTTTCTCTCGTTCGCTATTTAGAGTCACAGGTGTCTGGAAATGGCAGCTCCATTCTATCATCACGCGACCGAAGCACTTCTCCGTTCTGGGTCTTATCGTCGTGTATTTAATTAATCACGTGGCATCACTGATACTTTGCTAAATCCCACCCGTGGCGTCTCCGTTCGTCGCATTTTTTACATGGATGAGGCCAGCGCGAGATGCAAATCTGTTCCCAGACTTGCATTTGTCATCGGTACGTGAGACTGCGTCTTTTGATCGATCTCGAGATATTTCTCGAAAATGACGGCTTTTATAATTGAAGCTCGTGAATCATATCTATTCGTATTGGACATCAAATATAAATCGGACCAATATGAAAGACGTCGTAACACGCTCGAAAGGAACTTTGGAACCCTGAAATTTTATTATCTGACGGAAAATCGATATGTTCGACAAATTCGTTGTTACGACAAACGAGCTTTTAGCCTTAAATATAATGTTAATTTTGAAACGTTGTTGATATATCCAAAGGAAGTATTAATATATCATACGGTACATCTTAGTAGTTAAATATTCTTATTTTGAGCACAACAACGTTTACAATTCTGTCGGGAAATCATTTATTACTAAGTACTCGCGTAGTCAGAATTTTTCTACGTCGATAAGGTTGAATAGTGGCGAACAGTCGACAGGGAAAAATCGTGACAGTTCAAGGGATGGCAAGTTCCTTTCAATCTCTCAAAAGATCTAAGATCAGCAGTCCCAACACCGAAAGGTTCACGAAAAGTTCCATATCTCGCCTTTAGTGCTCGCGATGTTTCGCAAGTAGAGGATGACACAGTCGGAATGCGCATTGCTAAGATTTCCTTCACGTACGGGCTGCCCCGGAAATCGTACGTTTTCCATTTTTCAAGTACATGCAGTTTCTCTCCATGTTAAATATAAAACAACTTTAACTTTTAGATATTTAATATCTCGGCCTCTCTGTTTCGGGATGAAACTAAACAACAAATTAAATCGAAATTCATTCATTGAAATTCATTTTTCATTAGACACGCTCACGCAATACGTACAATTGCTCGTACGAGATTGTTACAGCTCCGCTAAATACTTTACTCTACTCTATTGTTAAGTTACAAATTAAAGTAATCTCGCATGGTTTTCGATTTTTACATAAGTTACGTAAAATATATAATCATGAAAAACAGACGTGTGCGACGCATTGTGCGTCGAGAACTTGACTGCGATATCGAGAAATCTTTCTTTTCTTTTTTATTTAGAAACAGTTGATCGTTTCTTAATCAAATTAGCTGTTTATAACTGAATCCAGGGGGAGAATATCGTGCATGTGTACGTACAATCTCATAGCGTTATTATCAGGATTATTTCGCTGAATTTACATATCGATTATTGAAGTTTCATTTACTTTCGTGCGCTCTTCGATATCGCTGCAGTGGAATGGAAAGTCCTCTTTGGAGCATTTCCAATTTCTCTGAAAAACAATTCCCAAAGTTGCTATCGTGAAATGCTTGATGGATATATGAGGTATCCCGGATGCGTTCTTTTTCTATCGCGGATACTACAAGGCCAAATTAAGAAGAATGGAATTTCTCTCAACATTGCGGTACTTTTTGAATTATAAGTTATCGAGGATATATATATATACATATATATAGCAATAGATTTTGATGAGTAAAGTTTCGAAAGTGGAAATTCGTCCATAACGAGGCTCTAAATTTTATTTGACTTCAAACACGGAGGGATTAAATCATCGTAGGATTTTATTTTAACTGGCAACTTTAATTTTAACTAAAGATCAACGAAAATGAACGTATCGAGAGAATTTTGCGTATATTTTGCAATAGTTGGAGCGTAAAATGAAAAGAATATTTTCTTTTAACATTTATTTAGTACAGAAAAAACATGTAGTTATTCATTGCTTTTCAAATGTTTGTATACCTGTGTAGTATGCAAAATATATACCGCGGGAAAACAAAATATACTGACCATGAATAGGGGATTGACGCTTCGTCTACTTTCGTTAACAAAAATCGACTTTAAATTCGCCAGAATGAATTCGCGCTTGAAAGAACGCGCGCTACGGGCATCGCGCACAATGAAGGAGAGGAATTATCATGAGCGAACACGAAACGACGCGAAGTCGTGCACAATAGTGCACGAGAGGGATTTCCTGGGTAGAAAATCTCGCAGTTTTTCTATCTTATTATACTAGATATAAACAACATGTAAACAAGTAATAAGGTACGCGTATAAAATGTCAATATAAATATCGAGAAACAGTTAACGAACCCGATCTACGAGAGAACGAAAGCTGCTGTGACATTTTAATCCGCGTTCTCAACTTATTCTTTTCGCGAGAAATTATCTCTCGAGGAGATTCCGCTAACTTTGTCCGCCCCGATGAAGAGATGCTTATCGTTGGCGTGTTTAAGCTCTAATTTAATGCGAACAAATATCTAAGTCCGTGCAATTAAACGTCCTCGACAACGCGCGTTATTAGCGTGATAATCGCTACTTGTAACAATCGGACGTTCTCTTTCCATGAACGTAAACTCGAGTCATAACGATGGTCTCGTAACTCGAAAATTCAAATGAGACATTACCTTCTTCTCTGCGACTCTCGGAATCGTCCTCTCTCTCTCTCTCTCTCTCTCTCTCTCTCTCTCCTCCCGAAAGAAGCAATTAAAAGCATTCGTTACGTCGCGACGCCAAAATGACTGGAGAATCGTGCCGGCTCCCTCGCTCCGGCATTACCGTAATTTACAATATGCAACGCGAATTACGCTCACCTTTACGTGCAATCAGATAAAGAATATCATTGTTCTGCCGGATCGTGCGAATTCTGCAGCGTGCGCGGCGATGGGCGGCCAGGTTACGGGCGCCCAGCGCTGAGCGCAGCAGGGTGCGATCATTCGGGCTCGCACGGCCGGCGTCGTCGCCGCTCGGCCGCCGAACAAGCGAGAGCGGCGGGCTTGTCGAGAACTCGCACCACTGCGCCCGCGTCCGCCCGCACGCGCGTCGCGCCGCGCCGCGCCGCCCGGTTCGCTCCTCTTGTCGGTCCTGTGTCACGCCGCGAGCTCACCCTCATCTCGTCCCTCGTGCTGATCGGACGTGAGCGGAGGATCCTCGCGTGACAAGCGATATCACAACGACTGAAAATAGATCTCACAGCGACGATGAGTGTTATCGCGGGGCCCCGGCCGGAGGGCAGGAGGGTGGTGCTGGTGATCCGCCGGACACATTGATGTTTCGCGCGAATGTTTGTGCGACCTTGCGATATTCGACGCGTGCGATCGCACATGACACCAATGAGGGTCTTCGTGTCCGACCGGGCTTTCCGATCGGTGTTTTGGTGACGGCGCGGCCGTAATAAAAGAGGGAAAAGGAGGAGAGAGAGAGAGAGAGAGAGAGAGAGCGAGCGAGCGAAAACATACAGACAGACAGAGCGATAACCGGTCTCTGGTAGATCTCTCTCGTCGCGACCGCGACCGCGACAGGTACAGCCAGGGAGCAGCGAAATTCGAAGAATGTGCGCGATCGGCAAGTGAATGGAGAACATAAAGAGAGCGGAATAGCTCTTTCCGTTCCCGCAGAGCAGTTAAGCGAGTTTCACGAGTTCAAGAGAGGAAAGTTTGCCCGCCGCAAAGTTTCCCGCGCGATAGTCTTCGTTTAAGACTGAAGTATGGATCATGGGGCCTCATCCTCAGGACTGCGCGACCGCGTCTCCGCGTGTGTTAAGCGCCGCGCGTGCGAATATTCGCGTTTGTCGGGCGATATCGTCGCGAAATACGGCTTCTCTGAGACGTCTTAGTCTCGGAACTCCTCGAGAACCCTCGAGAGCAGGGCTAACCAGGAATCCTCGGCTGAACGCTCGCTCCAGCGCTCTGAGGAGAGGACTCTGATTATAGAAGGGGCGGTCGGTGATTTACGGCAGAAAGAAGAGCCAGCGATGGGGATGCGCGGAAGAAACTGGAGTTAGACCGCCGTTACTCGTGTATTAGCCGTGTAATCGCTACACATCGAATCTGCCGCGCGTTAGTTGACTTGATCGCTATCGACATTTACCTTACTCAACGTACGACGACGTACGTAACGCGACATGGGCGAACGTTATTTATATCGCGGCAGCGCGTTCTGTAAGAAGCAAAGAACTATCTTAATCGGAGGATCAATCGTACCGACGGTCTAATTTATCTTCGGATTAGTGAGTGACTTTCTCCGCGTTCCGCGTATAATACTCTCGCTTACAATATATCTAGCGAGAAGAAAGAATCGACTACCGAATCCCCCTCGAGCCGAGCTTCGTCTACGAGGACTTGAAGTGTCGCGACCGCGCAGCGGACGCGCCTCGGTCTCGGCATCGACGGTGGACGGTGGACGAGCGCAAAGAATCGGAGGAAAATCCGCCACATCGGAGATATTCGGCGACCCCGATCGATACTTGAACGACGGATCGGCATTCTCGGCGAATCGCAGTCGATGGAACGCGGGCGACACGCGGACGTGAACGACCGACCGGCGTGTCCGTTCGCACCATGCTCGGTTCATCGTGCACGGTCGGCGCATTCCTACGAGCAGCACTCGTTGCGGCCGCGAGCCGCGTGCCTGGTCGTCGAGAAGAGTTGCCGTCGCACGAGATAACTCCCGTCGACATGCCGGAAGCGTTTACGCCGACGCTCTTCGCATTTTTCGACGCGCGCCGTTTGCTGTGTCCCAGGTAGACACACAATACTAAGCACCTTCCGGCCGGCAACGGATCGGTTGCGCGCGCGCGCGCGCGCGCGCGATCTCTCTTCACCCCTGCACACAACCCCTTGTGTCCTCGTCGTCCTCCGCCTCCGCCTCCGCCGTCGCCGTCGCCGATCGTGCGCTCACGATCGAGCACACTAAACAGAGGCGCGGATATACAGAGAGGGATATAAAAATAGACGGCGACTACCTAAGATAGATGGGAGTTGCCGGAAGTTGCCGGAGGAGTGTGACGGGATGAAACGATGAGGGAGGCGCGATCGCGACGGTGAAATACTGGACTCGCAGCACTCCGCGAGGACAGTACGCGGTAGTGAGATAGTACGAGTGCTCTTGCGCGAGACACGCTTTAAGCCGCGCTCGGCCCGGTAATTTTCAACGGTGAATCTCCGGCTCGTCCACCACAGCACCCCGAGGAACTTTGCGACGGGTGGTGGCATGAAGAAGCGTGCGGACAGCACGTAGCGACTGGCCCTTCTCGCTTCGGAGATGCGGCGCTATCCACTGCATATCAACGTCGCCCTCACCGTCGTTCTACTGGCGACTCGTGCGATCGTCGTCGTGCGTGCCGGCGAACAAGGTAAACAGCGATTATTGAGGCTCCCCCGTGCCTCCGTGTTTCCGCCGCTGTCCGGCCCGATGTGCTGTGTATTGTGTGTAGGTGTCGGTGAAGTTGCTGCACCCCAAGCGGGGCAAGGCGAGATCCACGCGGGCGTGCGAGAGGCAAAAGCGGGAGGGAGAAGCGAGGGTTCATCGCTAGATCCTCTGATTTTCCTCTCTAGAACACGAGAGTGTCCCGACTGTCCCGCCGGCGCCGTCGTTTGTTTGTCCGCGGTGCTTTCGCGGTGCTTTCGCGTCGCGTGGCTTCGCGATCGAGGAAGCAATTTCATTTCACCGCGTACGAAGTAACGATCGTTAGAGAAATAATTGCTCTCTCGCGCTTTTGTTACTTCTCCGCGAGCTTTGTATTTTTTTCCTATGCCGCTGGCCGGTGCCGATTCCGGGAAAATTGAATTGGGACATTCGGAGCGCTTTCGCATAATTTTATCGATGCCCATATTTTATGAGCAGCAGTGATATCGCGATGTATCGCGAATTTTATTTTTATATTCCTCTTCTCCGTGTTTATCGGAATACATTCTGGACGCCGGCGCGGCTAGGCGCGGATGGATATGCTATTCTATGCGAAATTACATTCAATTCCTAAGTTAGAAATTGCATGGAAATTGAATCTTTCCACGCTTCCGACGCTCGAGTGCAGTGCAGTGTGCGCAAACTTTCACGAATTGTGAATCCTATCTGATCACGTGTATCACACACCTCGGGTTTCATTATTATTCTTATTATTCGGAATGGAATAGTGGCTTTTGTATAGAATATCGATTAGGAAGCCGGTCGCAACACCGCGCGAATGGCATCTTTTATCAGAAAACGGTTTCTCACCGGGGTCCGCAGGTGAATATAGCGCCGCGATTCTTGGCGGGCACAATAGACGCGTACTGTATCGTCGATTCGTTATCCTTGCATTTCCGATTCAAATGGTTTTCGGTATGCCTGCCAGAGTCGAATTTTTCTCTCGCCGCGATGCCCGCCTCCATAAGGACACGATTCGTAGCGGAGTGTAAAGTAGAACGCTGCCAAACTGCCATGAACACTTGGCCGCGCGAGAGCTTTTGTCATTAAATCAGAGGGGATATTTTCCGGTCTGACGAAACGTTAAATGAATAAACGTTAAATGAATAAATGAAGAAAAATAAGGATATGAGAACGCGATCATCGCGTTCATATTTAATTATCGCGTTGCTACATTGCAACTACGCTTACAGTAATGCGGGATATATTAACTGTTACAATGGACGATAGTGATTCGAGATCGTTTGTTATTCCTATAGCCATATGATGATACATTTCCCATGGGAAATACAACTCGTGTAGAAATGACAACAAAGATGTTGCTATATGAAGCTGATAATTATAACAGTTCTAATGGGCGCTGCAAACAGAATCGCTGCCATATGATTGGCTTTCATGTCTACGTAAATCTAAATAATGTATCGCCGAAGTGTATAATCGAAATAACGTACCCGTCGCGAAGTCGACACCGTTAACGTTCCTTTCATAATTTGCATTCATATATACTCATGTATACACTTTATAAGTATCAACTGTTTTATAATTAATCCCAATTAATAATTTTACGCGGCAACTTTCAAGTAGGAATATAAATGATTGCTTAATTATGTACCGAGATGCAAACGGCAAAGCCAGCGCGTATCTTCTTCTTCACTTTTTTATCGGACGCAACTTTTGTTCTGTGTTAATTGGGATTGTTTCACAGCGGTGAAAAACATCTCTTGTTCTTGCTAATTAAGACTATTGCCATAGGTAAAATCAATGCGCGAATAAATCGCAAGTGATACATTGAATTTTATATATGACCAAAGTATTTGCACTTTGCACTTGCAACAATTCGACGAAAGAGGCAAAGACTTCTCTCGCAAGAATAATTTTCATTTTCAATTTCAAACACCACGTCGCTCAACGATGATAACGTCCCAGCGAGCTTGCGGCGCTCTGTCAATTAATTGTTGCAACTGGAGCTTTAATGAACGTCACTTCGTCATCCTCGCATGCTAGGCCGTATTCAGACGAGCCAGCTTAGTTTAGCTTGTATAATTTATGCATTCTGTACTATACTATCCTATGTGCGTTTGCAACTTGATCGAGCTTGCGTGGTGCTGTCGCTTAATAGAAAGCACCACGAAGTATGCGTAACGCGCTGTTTGATGTATTTTAATCGAATGCAAAACTTGCGTTTCACCGTTACGCGCTGATCGCTCCGCGCAAAATGTTATATATTTTTCGGATCGGTGCTTAAAACTCTCATATGTCCGAGACGAAATTTCAGTTCTACAATAATCCTGCAAATTTCCAACTCGAAGAATTAATGGACAATCTCCAGAAATATAAAAGCATTCTTGATCGGGAATGTAATTGATATTGTAGATTTATATTCAAAGATCGCTCTTTATTCTCAACTTACCAAGTGCTCGTTAAAATCAGAGATATTTTGCATAATAATTGATTCGATACGTTGGAAATACATGATGTATCTCTACTCGCATCCCAGCTTCCTGTTGTTCTCTATCTTTGCTTTCAATTCAGCATCCTGGTTCCTGACTGTTCCTAGTGCTGACATTCCGGATAATCATTCGCGACATTGATACTTACATAGACAGAATTTGTTGAAGGTGCGTTAATTAACGCGATATCAACGAGAGCACGATTAAATATTTCAAGAGGCAGCGACGAGCTATTTTACTTATATTCAACAATAATTATAATAATTGATACACGCGGTGCACATGCTCTGTGTTGTAAAATATGCTTGTCGCTCATTGGCTCGATTCGGTCATGGATAAAATATTCTGTCGTATATGAAACATTTGGTTCTTGTCAGCATTGTGTTATTCAACACGCGTCTCTCCGATCAAATTGCATCTTCGCGAACGTCAGTGTCACCGCTTACGAGTGATTATCCAGAATGTTACGACGGAGCAGCTAGAAGCAGTGCGCTAGATCGAGAAGCGAAGACGGAGGATGCACGGATGCAGAAAAGCAGGCAGCGATACATCATATGTACATGTACGTAACGTCCTTTGGTAATTATTCAGTTTGAGGGAGTCAGCTCCAACGACCTTGACTTTGATATGTGTTGTTGATTTTAACAACATATGTTTAAGTATCACATTGTAAGTCTTCGTCGTCGCTTATTGAATTTATTAAAACGTTATTAACAGAAGAAATTGTATAATTATAGAACATGAATTTCTTTGACACAGTGTAGGTAGAATTGTAATATGTAAACATTAATCACTCTATTTTAAATATAAATAACACGAACGTATTGATACATTTTTTCGAAATTATGGCCGCGTTGTAACGTATAAAATATCATCATGAAATAGAATATGATAAACAAATAAAATTATTATTGTATAATTACGCTTTGTAAAGATTCTGTTTAAAAAAAATTGATGAGTACTCTATCTGTTTTTTAATATATATAGTGTTGAAAAACGCTGAAAACTACATTGTATTTATGAAACTTCCTATGTTTATAATTCTTCAATCAACGACGGCTAAAATCTTTTGAGAGTTGCTCAGTAAGATGACTTCAACATGTGTCAAGGTCAAATTTACTGGAGCTTCACTCCCTGTAAATTGAATAATTATCAATTATTTATTACGCAGCACACATTTTAAATCTCAACGGACGATTTGTCGCAAATAAGACGAAATCTGAGTCGAATGATCTTTCTTTAATATTTAACTTGATAAAACGACAGCAATAAATGCTCTTTCTAACTTCAAAGTATTGGGTGAGTGCAAAAGTTCGTGCGGAGTTTGTGAGTAAAAGTCACACAGTGATTAGGCAAACAAAAATCTTTATTCAATCAATGATATATTCTCCATCGTTTTCTATAATCTTTTCCCAACGTTCTGGCAGCATACGGATGCCTCGATCATAAAAACTGCGCGATTTAGATTCGAAGAACGAAGAGACGCCGTTTTTTAAGGCCTCCAAAGAGTCAAAGTTTTTTCATTTAAATAATTTTGCAATGACCGGAACAAGTGATAGTCAGATGGTGCGATATCAGGAGAATACGGTGGATGCGTTAAGACATCCCATTTCAGGTTCTTCAGTTTGCGCAGCGTCTTTTTCGAAACGTGTGGTCTGGCGTTGTCGTGATGAAAGACGACTCCCTTGCGATTTGACAAAATCGGACGTTTCTCTTTTATTTCTCGATTCAGATTGGTTAATTGGCGACAGTACTTGTCCGAATCAATCGTTTCGCCAGCGGGGAGAAGCTCGAAATAGATTATGCCCTTGCAATCCCACCAAACAGAGAGCATCACCTTCATCGGGTGCAAACTGGCCTTTGGCATTGCGTCACCATGCTCACCTGATTGTTTCCATGTCCGTTTGCACTGAACATTGTTGTAGAGGACCCATTTCTCATCGCCCGTCACTAGTCGATCCAAAAACGACTCGTTATTGAGCCGCCCGAGTAAAGAAACGGCTGCAGAAATTCGCTTGATTTTGTTCTTCTCGGTCAGCAAATGGGGCACCCATATATCGAGCTTCAAATCGAATCCCATCTTTTTTAAACGCCGAAAAAGCGGTTGATCGGTCAACGTTTAGTGCTGTAGCAACTTCTTCTGTTGAAATTCGCGGATTATTGAGCACTAAAGTACGCAAAACATCGTCATCAATGTCAGAAGGTCGACCAGAGCGTGGCTCGTCTTCAAGGTTAAATTCTCCGCGCCAAAATTTAGCAAACCATTTTTCCACAGTTCGTTTAGCTGGTGCTTCATCCTGATAAACATCCTGAATGTTTTTTACGGCTGCGGCAACGTTTATTCCCTTCCGAAACTCGTAAAGCATAACATGCCGTAAATGCACTTTATCGATACTCATTTTTAAAGTGATATTTCTCGAAGCAGTTTGTATGAAAACAAATGATTTTTTTTTTAATAACAGCTGAAGACGTCACCTTTCCAACGTTATATAATATG